ACATTGGTGAATGCCACAAATTCTCCTAAATCACTCGTACGCACAACTTAAGAACAAATCTGTGCGTACGAACGGTTCTTGCATGAGGTCCAATGACCAAAGGTCACACTGAGCGAGGATGTTTTGCACAAGTTCTGACTCATTACTTTGTCTTTTCTGATGTTCCAGAGACCTTCGAGTCACTTGTGTCCTTCACGTCCAACCTGACCAGCACTCTGTTCGACAGTGCCTACTCCGCTCTGGCATCCGATTGCCGCCCCCTTGTGTTTCAGCTGTTCACCGGCGTCCAACGCCACCTTTCAGGACATGCTAATTTGTCTCTGGACAACACGGTTCGTCAGTTCTACAACGACCTTTTCCCGCTGGTCTATCGCCGCCTGCTCAATCCCGGGATCGGCCACACGTCAGCAGTATCCCAGTCTTCCTATTCCACCGATCACGACGACTGTCTGCGGATGACACAGCAGGACATCAGCCCATTCGGGACCCATCCTCACCTCCTCGTCAGCAGCCTGTCCCGTGCGCTCGGCCCCGGTCGAGCACTGAGCCGGTTGTTGAGGCTGGCTGGAGAGGTCGTGAATTCGACCGAGAGGGCGGCGTTATCCAGAGAGTGTGGACGGGGGTTAGTGAAGATGCAGTACTGTTCCCACTGCAGAGGACTGACTTTCATACGGCCCTGTACTGGACTGTGTGTCAATATCATGAGAGGATGCCTGGTACGTCTCTGAATACTTCGATGCATTTTGGCATACAGCCTTTTATTTTTGTTAAAGCTTTAAAGACAGACTGGAGCAGAGTTTAGTATTGGTAGTAAAGAAGGTACGTTATAAGGCAGGGGTTCTTAACCTTTTTGACCTTCGGGGCCCAATTTGTTGAACATAAAGTGGCACGAGGCCCAGTCAGACATTACCAATATATGGATCAAAATGATAATTATTCTAAATCTTGGTTGAAATTTTATTGTATTTACATTATAACTAAATTAAATACACTTAACATTTTAAAAGTAAAACTCCTGTGAAATAATCACAAGACATGATTATGACAAACATTTTTATATTGTAACCTGCCCATAACAATTATTTGAACAAATACAAAGATCAGTCAACAGACCACTCAGGTTTATCAACACAAATTTATATCTATTTTTAACATAAACAACAGCAAAAATAAACAATTCAATAAATAAAACTGTGGGCATAAAATAAATAAATGAAAAATGTTCAAATGTTTTAAATATAAAAAACTTTAAAAATAAATTTTAAAGTACAAATGAAAATATAGCCTTTTTAATCTTTTGCATGGTAGAACCAGAAGTTGCTCTTCATATTAGTGACAAACAATAGGAACAACAGCTTTTTGACAAGTTTAAAGT